TACATTATGATAGTAAATTGTACTTGTAATAAAATACATTATGATAGTAAATTGTACTTGTAATAAAATACATTATGATAGTAAATTGTACTTGTAATAAAATACATTATGATAGTAAATTGTACTTGTAATAAAATACATTATGATAGTAAATTGTACTTGTAATAAAATACATTATGATAGTAAATTGTACTTGTAATAAAATGCACTATGACAGTTAATTGTACTTGTAATAAAATATACTATGACAGAAGTTGTATGGTAATACAAGTACATTTCTATTATGCTTAGTGTGACTTTTTTATTTATGTTTTACATGCATTTTTTAAGTATTGAGTTCACATCTGCATATTAAGTTTCAAAATTTAAGTAAAATAATAATTTTAACTTTTTCCACAAATTTTGTTCAGAAATATTTTAGAATTGATATTTTGGCCTTTGTGTAACATTTATTTAGTGTAATTCACAAAACAAGAAGAAATATTCAAACTTATGCTGCACAGATATTAGGAGTCTCACATCTAAACAGTGGAAATATAGATATTGCTTTGGAATTTTTCTTCAGTGTTTTCCACTAAGAAAGTATAATATCTTGAGAATATAATCATCCATGTCTTGTTTCTCATGATTTTTTCCTTCTCAGTTTGAGGTTTTTTTTATCACAGACCTTTGTTCTCACCCTTTTTGAGTTTACAGGATGTTGTCTAAACAATTAATAATGATACACAATTTTGTAAGTTGCTATAGACAAAATTTAAATACCATTTGATAGAACAGATTATAAACTAATTATATCAATGTAAAGTAAGAAAAGTATCAGCAGTAACTCGTGGTTTTATGAGAAAGTGACTAGACACAACTTCTGCACAGATGAATAAAGGAATCTGATGGGAAGTTTAGAAGACTTAGGAACAAACCTTATAGTTTCTTTTTCTTTGTGTTCTATTAGACATTCTTTTCATCCCTGAAGGTGTTTTTGTTTGAAAACCACAGAATTGTTTTTCTATGGTAAGATGACACGAAGCTTAATTAGGTTTAACAAGTGCAGTGACTCAAATCCTTACTTATTGAATGTTATTGTTAAGCTTTATCATATTAAAAAAAATGTACATAAAATAACTTATTATTTATTGAAAACAAGCTATGTTTATTAGATAAGTTGATCTTGACCAAGAATATTGTTTAGCAAAAATATTATCTAGCCTGGCAAAGGTAATGATGACACCACTTTGAAAGGTCTGGTCTTAGGTTATCAATAAATCTCTGTGAGTTTCACATTTTTTTTTACAATTATATCTGGAAGTACTAACAATTTACAAAATGAATTATCAAAAAAGATATGTTAATGAATATCAGTGAAGTTGAAACTGACTGGATATATAAAATTGAACTCTCCAACAGTACCTAGTTTCTGCATAGAAAAGTTATATACTTTTTATCATTTTGCTATGTGATACTGTTTTGAAAAAACTTAAATTCTTAGATGAAACATTAAGTTTCACACAATTTATTTAAGTATTTCTCTACTGTAAGAAAAATACTAATAATGAATCTTGAAATATCATCGACACCCCTCCAGTCTGCTAAGACTTAAATATGAACTCTGATTTTGTTTCAAGGTTCTCACTTGTAAGTTGAAAATGCTGAAAAAAAGATCTGTAAATAAACCATAATCAATTTATAAAGCTTGTGACAGTTCCAAATATTTTTCTGTAGTTTTAAAAATTAAAATAAACAAAACGCAGTGCATTTTAGACGTTGGTATGCAGCTTTAATATTTGTAGCTCCTGAAGGTTGTAGGGTATACTGATCTGTGAGCTTACTAGAGCAAAGCTCAGGAATTCCTTGTCTGATATTATGGATATTTCTGGAATTAATTTAGGTTTTACACTGTGTGATTTTTCAAGTTCCACACGTATTTTGTTCATTGTTTTAGTAGACAACAGGATGTGAGACCATTCTGATAGATAAAACCTGAATTAAAAACTTTTATATTAACTACAGATGAATTCTTTTGAACAACTGTGCATAAACTACACCAATGAGAAGTTGCAGCAGCTTTTCAACCACACCATGTTCATTCTGGAGCAAGAAGAGTATCAACGAGAAGGAATTGAGTGGAAGTTCATTGACTTTGGACTCGACTTACAGCCAACCATAGATCTCATTGAAAAGGTTTGCTAGAGCAACTTTTTTTTTAATTGAAACATTTTATAATGTATTGTTTTTATGTAGAATTTATTTATTTGCTTTTCGTTTTTCAAATTATTTGAATTTTTAATCCATACTTCTTTTAATTGTTAAGGTTGAATAAGCTAAAGAACTCATTGAATGGTTATAACATTTTTTATCTACATGTAGATATAGTTGTACTTTTTGTGCAAAGGTTAAACAAAACATTACATCTGCATACTTAATGTATACTTTTGTATGAGTGTTAAAAAATAAATTGCATGTTTGTGTACTTGTTCTAATAACTTTAGAAGCTTTTCATTTACAGTTCTTTTATTTGTATGTTTATTTAACATTTAATTGTAATAATTCTGTTTGCTTGATGTAGTTCATGGTTTTTGGAGCTAAACACTTGATATTTTCTTAAAGCAATGAAATCAAATTAAAACACTATTGATGCTGTAGACTATTCTATTTTTATATAATGAAAAATGTTCAGTATTGGTATTTATAATTGGAACTTGAGGAGAATTTAATAAATTTTTGTAACAGATTTTCTGTGTTTTGATGATCACATGTTTAGTTAATGTTGGCCTGCAACTAGTGTGAGAATTTGAAAATAATGGTTTTTAAATGATTGTTTTAGCTCAACACTTCATATAAAAGTGAGTTTTTATGAACATAAATTTTCTGGGATTTTATAATTACAGTTGTGATATGAGCATTATGCATTTTAATTAAAACAAACTTAAATTGTTCATTTTTTATGTGATAACTCCTGGTGACAGCAGCTTAAGTTTTTCTTATCAAACTGTTATATTTATAATTTTATATTTGTTTCATGTTTTAAGCTTTCATCAGTGACTTTTTCTCTTAGTAACCACAATAGATTTTCTTTGCTTTCAAACTTGTATGTACATGACTAATATTGAGTTGCAAAAGTTGAGAATTAATTTGACAACTTCTGTCTGTTAGATATTTTACTAACACATTTTCTTGTAGCTATATTCTCTATGAGGTTTTTTCTCTTGCAGTAAAACAATTAACAGTTTAAAGAAGTTCTATACACATTTTCATGTATGTCTGTGTTTAATTATTGTACAAACTATAAGTTTTCGTACAGTTTGTGTGTATAGATTCTAAGGCTGTATATTTGTTCTACAGAGTGTTTTGATAATTTAATATTCTTTAAATCAACTTAATTCTTGCAGCCCATGGGGATATTTGCTCTTGTCGATGAGGAATGTTGGTTTCCTAAGGCTACTGACAAGACTTTTGTGGACAAACTTCTCAATGCCCACAACACTCACCCCAAGTTTGTTAAATCAGACTTCCGTGGAGTAGCAGATTTCAGTATCATACATTATGCTGGCAAGGTAAAACTGTTTCACTTTTTTTTTTCTCTTTCATTTAAATTAGTAACATAACAATATTTGCTATTTTAAAATTTGGGTGAAATTGCAGCAAAAATGTTTAATTCAGTAATCTTTTGAAAGTTGTATATTGATATTTAGAAATTAATTGCACCTGTTATTTAATGTCCATCTTGCAAAACTCAGTCTTTTATAATTTAGTTAAGAAGATCATACTTATCCATTGAGTTCTACAATGTTACTAGATATGGACTTTTTTAAGATAACAATTCCTCAACACAAATCAAATAGTTTATTGTGTGACTTCCAAAATTTTACAGAACTTAGACTTTTAAACTAGTTAATAAGACTGTAATACTTGTCACTTGGCCTAACAAGTTGTAGGATGGTTTGAATCTTGGCTGTAAGTAGTTAATAATATTGTACTGTTTGTCACATGGAACTACCAAGTTCTAGGATGTTATAAAGTTTGTACTTCTGTAAGTAGTTAATAATATTGTACTGCTTGTCACATGGCTTACCAAGGTCTAGGATGTTATAAAGCTTGAAGTTCTGAAAGTAGTTAATACTGTACTGCTTGTCACATGATCTACCAAGTTCTAGGATGTTATAAAGTTTGTGGTTCTGTAAGTAGTTAATAATATTGTACTGTTTGTCACATGGTCTACAAAGTTCTAGGATGTTGTAAAGTTTGTACTTCTGTAAGTAGTTAATAATATTGTACTGTTTGTCACATGGAACTACCAAGTTCTAGGATGTTATAAAGTTTGTACTTCTGTAAGTAGTTAATAATATTGTACTGCTTGTCACATGGAACTACCAAGTTCTAGGATGTTATAAAGTTTGTACTTCTGTAAGTAGTTAATAATATTGTACTGCTTGTCACATGGCTTTACCAAGTTCTAGGATGTTATAAAGTTTGTAC